GATTTTTTGCCATCATGACGGCATTGCGAGCCATTAGAGATTTGCAGAATCCAATTGAAACCTACAACCGCATATTAAATTACATATCAAATGCTCCGTTTCCTACTGACGATTTGCAAAGCCGACTGCTCTTTATAACCTCCATGATTTTTGACATCCTATCAGCAATAGTTTCAGAAAAACTCAAAAAAAAAATATAGCCCCACTGTCAGCACCTTGGAAAGGACGAGACCTTCCTGTAAATTGTTTGCAAAGCCTAGAAAATGTTTAGAATTTTCCGCTCTCGCTATCATTAGATATTGGCAATTCCTTTGCTTACCCAGTGAATATCTGGCTTCTCTTACTTCAAAAATTTCAGAGTTGGACCCGAGAGAATCTAGGAGTCTTGACAGACACATTAGACTGAAGAGAAAATTCCAAAACGTAAAAAAGTAGAGTAAAAATAGGAAAAAGTAGAGTAGGTGAAAGTAAAACGCATTCCTTGACCATATGAAGATTACTTATTGAAATCAAAATTTTTATATAACCATTTTTCTTACGTTCTTAGATCGTAACCCTGTCAGCAAGGAGAATAATGACGGAAAAAATAAAAAATTTCTACAAGATTCGGCAAAAAATTTTTGGCCGCTTCAGCTTTAGCTCTGGCTTTTGATTTTTCGAACTTCTGTCGATCTTGAGGAATTTTTTGCCAATCGAGCCTCTATATTCCTCCATATCAAATATTATCATAAAATATCGTTTTTTACATTTGTTAATCTATTCAACTTTTACATTCACGAAAACTTGTCAATGGTAAAGCCGAGATGGCTAAAGTAAAGAACGTCCTTGCCGAATCAAATAAAGCATGTAGTGAGGGTAAACATGGAAAAGGAAGATTCGAGAATGTTTTGGGAATGTTCTTACCAAAGATATGTTGTCGTTTTTTTCATTTTGTTGACAAACCTATGGAGACAAATGAAAACGGCTGTAAAATTCCCGTCAAGCCAGAAAGATGATTCCATTTGACGTCTCAAGGAAACGGGAAAAAAGCCAACGAGCTAATAAAGTAATTAATTTTTTCGAAGAACATATCAAATTTAGACAGTTGTTCAACTAACTTTAGCTTTTACATCACGAAAATTACTTTTCAAAAACATAAGTTCGAAACTGCCAAAAAATGCCGGATACGCAAACGTTCACAGTAAGAATAGGGTCTGTCCCCGATCAGCTAGGGCTAGAAAAATGTCCCGGGCGGAAGCAGAAAGCCCCGTATTAGCTTACCTTTCTGGCACAGCTCGGACGGCAAGTCGCATAGCACGGCTACCGCCGGCGGCACCGCCACCACATCGACTCTGAGACAAGACGACGTTTTTTTCCTTGTTCCCAGAGCCCACCAGTTCAATTAGGCACCAGTCAATCAACTTTATTGCATTAGTTCGTAGCTATGAGCACTTATTACTTGTCATTTTCTTAGTTTTCCAATGCACCCCAATTGATTTTCACTTCAAAGTTGCTCTCTCACTGCCTTTCCTCAGGTTGTTCATCGGATGAAGGGTCAATCCACCATTTCTCGATGCGAAAAAGCTACAAAAATCTGGAAAGTTCCCAAAAATCAGACCAGCCGTCAATACCTACGCTTGAAAATCGAATTCTTTTGTCAGCTCAATCGATCGGCTAGTCAACTACCTTCCATTGACTGACCACCACACCAACTCCTCAAGAAGCTCGTCAAGAGCCTTATCCTTCAAGGGCACCAATTAAGAATGCCCGAGCGCGAGGCAATGCTGAGGGACTGAAATTCGACGGCCCATGCCTGGCATCAGTCGTGTTGTCTCAAAACGTTTCGTCTACTGGAAGAAACTGCACATGGCCCACGAATTCCACTATTAACGAGCTAGGGGCGAACCAATCCCTGGCAGAGACATCGCCCCTGACGACATATGACAGTACGAGGACGTCCTATGAAGTCCACTAGTTCAGACAAAATGGAACTCAGCTTTCGGTCGAGTCAAGCCACAGAAATCAAATTTCCTGAAGGAGCTGCAGTTTTCGCGATAATCTTCTTTCACTGGATCGACGAGTTCGATGTGTAGGTCTGGCTTCTGCCGTCATTTCGCTTCTATCGGAAGTTTTTCACTCGATTGGTAGGCCTAATATATGGATTCGGCTAATGCTAGAATTTACTCAAAGTCAGTCGCGGTAGCCCTACATTCGTTCTGGTATCTCGACGTCCTCGATGCTTTTTCCTCAGAGTCGGAGTGACTAACTAACTTAATCACCAGTGGTAGTAGAAAGGTATCATAACCATAATTCTCATGATAGAGAGGTTCTTTTTTCATCGATTCAGGGGTCCCTTGCGATGCTAAGATGGAACACCACCAAAGAGGTCTCTGTTAACTCAATTGCATATTCTATGTAAGCCGTAGACCCCACCAAAGCTCTATGATTCTGAATCGATGATTAGGTGGAATATGTGGCGACTAGAATACCACCTCGAGGATGAATTTATCTTCTTCGCCTACTGATGGATGCAAAGAGCGACAATGTTCCCTTGGAAGAGCAATGGAGTCATCCCTGCACAATAATACGAAATCGGAGGATATCGATCGAAATTATTGGGTTTCGCACCAGAGATTCGATTTACAACAGCACTGTTTGAATCTTGTTATGAAAGCCGAAATCGATTTAGTCGCCAGCCAGCTACTGCTATCGTAGAAGTCAAAATTCTGCAGTATTCAGCCTATCGATCAATACCGATTAGAAATGCTTTGAGCAACGGCACCACATCTTATATGCTCATCAATGGGCGGTTCTGACAAAAGTGGGTGTTCTGAACGAAACTTCGACCCTCACTGCGCTATTTCCTGGCCGATTTTGGTTTCGCACGATGTCATATATAGGCTTCTCCGGAATGAAACATTTTCTCCCAGCAGTCTCCAAACACTTTCTCATCCTTTCAATGGACACTAGGTCTCTATGAAAAAATACCATTCCGTGCGGTTGCTGGCTATGAAAAAATGAATTTAATGGGCATATTAAAAAAGCAAAATGGATGCTTTGTTAGGCAATTAGGCGATATTAGTAAGAGCAGCATGAGGCGTACCAGTAATCTACTGCTTCAGAGTGGGAATTTCATGGTAAACTCCCGGATTGTTCAGTATTATACATACATTACATGGCAACACTTCAAAAACTACAAATAAATTATAAATTTTCCGACACCATAAGTATTTTTTTAGGTCCTCTTCCTCCTTCCTTCGAGCCCTTTTCCCTTTTCTTTGACTGAAAAAAAACTGACTAAAAAGTAGCGCTTTTTTACAGCACTCAGTCCAAGTAAGCCAGCTATTTTGTAAAGCAACCCATTTCCAAGTCAAAAATCTCCAGGAGGGCAAAAAATCGCGAGGTTTCTGGGAAGTTTTTCTGCTTTTTTTTTTACTTCTCGGTAAAGTTTTGGAAGCAGCGTAGAGCTTCTGCTCATTATGATATACAAAATCAGTAAAATCATCTTATATACCATAAACATTAAACACAAATAATGACTTATATTTGGGGAATTTAAAAATCAGAAATGTTTTCGAAAAAATGAGTCAGAGTCAGCAAACGAAACAGTTTCTCTTGATCTTAAGAGATCTTTTTTTCAGAATAAAATAATTATTGTATTTTTCGAAATGTCGGCTCAAAAAGAAGCAATTCAATGCAAAGGTAACTGTTTTGCCAAGAAACGGTACTCTGACGACACCGTAAACGTCAGGGGCATAGGAATCGGAAATCGGAAGTTAGGGAGTAAAATAGCTTGGGATAAATTCTGTAAATCTGATCCCACCAACAGATAGAATTAAATTGAACTCTACCTGTAATGCACGATGGTGCAGTGGTGGATGCGCGTCGGCTGCAGTTTGTACTCTGGCAGCACATCGGCGCCCAGCGAGAGCACCTAGAAAACATGGATATTGATTTTCTCGCTACAGCCACAGTAATGGTAAACAAAAATATCCACAATTGCACTCACCTTACAGATGGTCAAGTAAAATGCATTCTGATGATTTTTAAAGAGAACCCCCACCCCTCCATTGTATAACAAAAAATTAAAAAATTAAATTTATAAAAAAATATTACAAAATTATATTTTTTTCTAAAAATCCTCCGATCGATATTACCTTGTATGACCCATTTTGCAATACAATCATAAGCTGTTTAGGTATAGCGGCCGACATTTGTGTTGTTTGTACAGCAACAGGTGCATGCTCGTCTTCGGGCTAGCAACAGCAGCTATGATTTGTGATTTTCGTATGGGAAATACGGTAACCACCGGTGACCGTAATCACACACGTCACTGCGTCGCGTAACGTGATTGGAATCCTGTAGATAGTGTTGAAGAAATGTATGATGAATTATACGGATGGAGAAACGCAGACATATGTAGCTATGTGGAGATGAAGAAAACATGAAAATCGATTGATTTTGAGCAGACTTGTTACGCTTAGTATAAACGCGAGCTGGTAACATCAAAGCAGCCAACAAATAAAGTCATAAGAAACTAGTAAAGGCCTCTCGTACTTGTGAATAGGGTCGTTATTTGATAGTTCATTTGCTAGAATGTTCCCTAACTCAATATCTCTGCAATTACATTGGCGTTACAAAAGGGCAACTAATAAATGTGATTTTCAGGAAATTAAGAAAAAAGTATTTAACAATTACCATTAAAATTATGGGGTCATTTTGTAGAACGACCAAGCTTACACAGCCAGTAAATCTTTATGAGACAGTCATTTTAATATACGCCCTATGACTCAAGTTTCTTGGAAATCTGGGGGTAATATTTGAAGGGGAAGTGGGCATCAACGTCATTCCTCATACTTCGATTTACGTCGTCTTTCAATAATGGCCATGAAAAAGTACGTTTTTCAAGTAATTCCCGCGGGAATGATCGAATATTTCATAAACCTTTCCGATGTGCTGTGGTATCCCCTAAGCCTCATCTCAAACAATGTCTTGGATACAATATAAAAGCGATAGTTGCGCTAATTATTAAGCTCATTTGTTGTCTGCAGGATGCTACGAACACAAAAAATAAAAAGGTTTTTCTAATGCCAAAAATCGATCCAAGTGATGCAAGAACAACCTTATCCAAACCAAAATACAACAGTTGTTCAGGTTCGCCTACAACGATGAGTTCCAGAACGATTAAAATCCTCCTTTTGTCTCAATCACCCAAATTTTTTGGCAATTCAGGACTTTCGCAAAACTCTGTGGGGTTTGAAATTGCCTGTTCTCGTCAAGGTGTTCTAATTCGTAGATCCTCCCAAGCGGGCTGACCATGTGTGAGAAAAGCTTAAGAGCAGCTAAAAGTAATTCACCTAATGCGAAGCTATGTTGACAACCTATTCGCTACCATACCTTTTCAGGCTGCCACGCCCCTCCGGGTAGCTCCGCCCATTTCAGAATTTGTCCATTCTACATATCCCGGGTACTCTAATCAAATGCGCTTGCGGCGTTGATGCTTTTCTCAAGTTGAATCGAGATCGTGATTATGTCTGTGCTCTTTCTTAGGCAAGGGGGTTTATTACAAATCATTGTATTACCTATAACTAAATTCCCACAAGCATGTAAGGAATACGAGAAAAGGCAAAGCTCTTCGGAATAAACAACGGCTAGAAGCGCATATGTAAAATATTCTGAAAGAATCCCATTTCCGCAAGAATAGAGCCTATCTAGATTGCACTTTCAGGAGGGTTGGAATCGATAGCCCAGAAAATGGCGTTGATGTGATGCACGTGGCTTGAACTTTTCACAAGGTTAATATATGAACTCCACTAGGCCGACATTTCGATAAGAGCACCCTTTTAAAAGTCTGAGAGCATCAAAACAAACCTGTGACTAACCGATCAAACTTCAACCCTAACGAAATGGTAAGGAAATGACAGCCAACGTCACGGTGCCATAAAGAACTGACATTGGTTAAGTTCTTGCCAAAAGTACAGGATATTAGTAGGGAAATGAGGTCGATTAAAGGAATTCTCATTGTGGGACATGTGAGAGAAGGGTGAAATTGAAAATCACAGCCAAGAATGCTTCGAAAATTGGTTCCTAAGTTGGTGATGGTGGGATGCAAAAAGAACTTTTGGCCTACCGTAGCTATTTACGGATTGTAATTGACAAAATAAACGACGGCCGACTGTATTGAAACATTCATTGTGAGTGCAAGAATTCTTTTTTTTTTCAAGAACTCTCCCCCGGTCCAGTGAGAAATCGGGCTATGCCCACTTCTGGGTCTCCTGCAACAAGTGATTCTCCAAAGCAAACAAAAATGATGATCTAGTTGAAATTTATTTATTAATTTTCGAGTTTATTTATTCATGAATTTAATTCTTTTTACGTAGAAAAGTGAAAGGGAAAATAGAGAATAATCTTTTCTTTTGCCAAATTCCCACTTTATTTGAAATTTTTACTCTTGGTATTTGGTACTTCTGGCTATGGTCTTTCCCTTTTGATCCACTCCGACATATTTGAATGAGTAATCAACTGATTATAAACAAATAAAATAGAAATATAATAAAAAATGCATTTTACTTTGAATATATTCGAATAATAATTTCCTAGTGTTCATCAAATAAAGGAGTTAATAAATATGTAAAATGAATAAATAAGCATTCAAAAACTTTGACGGATTGATCATCAGGCCGGAATTTATGGTGAAAATTTGCTTCTCTCACTCTCAAACAGAAAAACAGAGCATTTGAGGTATGCAAAAAGCCAATCCGAGAACGAAATGAAATAAAAATTAGGGGATTAAATACGTTTAGACCACTATGGGAGTCAATGTTGATGGGCGAGCACCCAACACCTCATCTGGGACAAGTTCCTTTGGTTGGATAAGGAAAACAATGAAATTAGAATCTGTAAGAACAGGATCCGTAGATCACAGACAATGTGAAAGCGCTGGAAAACATTCCTTCCCCGTTCCGGGACAGAAAAAGCTGTGAAGAGGGACGGGACCCAGACCTAATCAGAACATCACAGAGAACATAAGCATTACCTTATCAGGAGGTAGGATGGGTAATCCACAGAGTTAAATCTTCACTGGGTAAAGTAGGTATCGAAGTGAATCAGACCCACGAGCTAACCGCACCCACACTATCCCTTGACGGCGTGCTTCGGATTCCTAAACCCAAGCCCTGAAAACCTTATACCCCTTAACTACTTGATATTATTGCTTAAGTGTTCTCCAGTTGTTGAACCCATCCCAGGCGAATCCCAATGGTTGCTTCTAGGTGTTTAGAATGCAGTATTGACGATTTTGAAGACAAATTCTATTGACAATAGGGGTGATTATGGGGCTTTGTTCGATAAGGTACAGCATTGAAAAGCAGTGAATGAACCCAAAATGCGCCGCCCAACGTCAGCAGCTATGACGGGTCTTTTCAAGAGCCGCCGTTTAAACGGCCTCAATGTCGTCACAATGAAAATACCATAAAATAGACATGTTGTTATCCATGCGCTGGTAGCGGTGGATTATTGCACCTCGGCGCTAGCCAGCCAGACAGACAGACAGCCAGACAGACAGCCAACCAGCCAAGTGCCATCCGCGTTGGTCGGCGACCATTTACACAATCAGCAACACAGGAGTCGATGAAATTCAAGGAAACCGGAGATGAAATTGGGCAAGGAATAGAAAAATTGTGTGCAGCCCTGAGGTGACTTGCAAGTCCGTTGGGCCGCTTTTTAGCCTATGCGTTGTGTCGTCTGCTGATTCGTGAGATTTCTCAAGGGATCCGAACGGGCGCAGAACCGCAGCCAACCGCTAATTGAGGGAGTTTTTCATAGTGTCAAAGAAACACAGACATTGAAAAAAAAAGACGATGACGTAGAGAAGGGATTGGCAAACTACGAAAAAGTTGGGCAACTTCCATTCGACACTGCTCAGGCGGCATCTTTGCATTGACGGAGCCGTGGCTCGAGCGAGACCAGAGCAATTTAGGCACTCAGAAGCCAGATAGGCTCGAGGCTGGCTCAGAGTCAGAAAATGAGTCTAAACAATGTTGTAGTAACCAGTATCAGAATCTCGTTCGTAAGGCCAAGTTGAGATGAGCTTACGGCCGTTCAGCACCTTGAATGTACCATACTTCTCCATGGGTTCTCAAAATACATTACCATCTACCCCTACCGTGTCCCGGACTCTACCACAGGTTACAGGACAGTAGAACTGCTGTAAATGCTATTGGGAACTCAATGAACTTCCAGGTCCAAGCAGCATGTTTGGCTCCTTTTCCTTCCTTTCCGATGGAGGTTTCAAATTTACCCATTGACGCCATTCTGCCCAGATTATCCCTAGGAAAACAGCGATTGGGAGACACAAGTCAGTCACAATATAGTCAATTTACAAGAAAAACCTGACAGCTCCCATAAAACATTGAATTAGCATTTAATAGAGAAGGGTCTGGTTGAAGACCTACCAAATCCGAATCACGACATCTGATCCATCATTCGTATGCTTATCGTCTATACTATCTCAGCCGAAAAACCACATTATGATGTCATGGGCGCTAGAAAATGTGTAATGAACGAAACGGGCAGTACATATGCACTTGTGAAGGTCTGGGATCCGAGACTGTGAGGAAGACGAAGTAGAAGAAGAAGGGCAGCCCTCAGATGACGACATCATCGGAAATGAATCGAAGAAATCCAATCTCCATCATGTCTACCATAGTATGCGCTCATCACGCAAAGGATCACCTAATAAAAGAGGAATATCGCGGGAAGTATGAACTTCTTGGACTGGAAATTGTTCAGGGGATCAATAGCTATGTTTTCCATTCCGAAGAACCTTTAAAAAGACAAATTCAAAAATTACTAGAAAAACAAAAGCATAGTTATTCCTTGAGTAGGAAACTTCATCTGAAGGAATCGCGAAAGCCCAGATGGGATTTTTTCATTTCGTCCAAGCTTCAAATCCAAACCACATGACCGAGATCGAGATATTCTCGGGCTCGTTTGTCGATGAAGCCTAGCAACGAATGTAGAAAAACGGTAATTCCGATGTAAACGACTTGGTTGTTATTCAAAGCTGCGCCTCGAGCTGGTTGGCTGGTTGGTTGGAGCTGGCTGACTGACTGCTTTGGACGGCGGACACGGGCCACATAGCAGTTTGAGGTGTTTTATGCATGAAAACGATTGCGATAGGCGTTTGTCGGTTACTTCAAAAAGCAATCATACA